TGACGACGACAGTGCGATCACGAGCGAGCGATCGGAGGAAGAAGAACAGGAAGAAGGAAGAAAGGAGAGATGCGTGAGCTTCACCACTCCAAACCGCAGGTACACAGGAAGTGTTGAGGTTTGGAGGCTGCCAAGCTCGGTGCTGGAAGCCATCGAGAGCTCGGGCCTCGTCAAAACCGGCAAGGAGACTTGTTGCTCCGAGACTCTAGCAGCTCATCTTCTCGCGAATCCAGCAACAAAGAGGGAGCTCTTGGGCGAAATCATCTGGTCGTGCTGTGGAGCCAATCTCCTCGTTTCATCGCCGGAGCTCCTGCAAAGCTGTGGCAGCGAGGAAGACAGTGCGAGCCTGGAGAGCAGCATTGTGACGGGCTTTCAGCTGGCCTGTACCGCCGGTCCGCTGTGCAAGGAGCCACTGTGGGGACTGGCCTTCAGGATCAAGGTGGCGACTTGCAGCAATGCTGGCCATGGTGGCGTTGAAAACTCGGGACAAGTTATCAAGGTGATCAAGGAGGCGTGCCTGGAAGCAGTGGCGAAGAGAAATCCCAGGCTTGTGGAGGCGATGTACCTGTGCGAGGTGAGCACAAGCTCCTTGTTCCTGGGACAAATGTATGGAGTTTTGGCGAGGAGGCGGGCGAGGGTGGTGAAGGAGGAGATGGCGGAAGGGAGGGACGTGTTTGCGGTGGTGGCGTTTGTGCCCGTGGCGGAGAGCTTTGGCCTGGCGGAGGAGCTGAGAAAGAGGACGTCTGGAGCGGCCAGCCCCCAGCTGCGGTTTAGTCACTGGGAAGTAGCCGAGGACGATGGAGATGATGAACTGGAGATGGCAGAGAGGGACGAAGAACAAGGAGGGGGATTTGCGAAGCGGTTGATTGACGCAGTGAGGAGACGAAAGGGATTGGCTGTCAAGGAAAATCTTGTGAGGCATGCCGCGAAGCAAAGAACCTTGGCTAGAAAAGTCTAATAGTCCTTTGACATGTTCTTTCGAATATTTGGAAGATTCGTTTTTCAAAGATACCAAATAATCCCTAACCCTAAAATTGGAGCGCAAAGTTTAGTCACGTAGCAGACTTCTAGTGGTAGCCACAGACTTTCAGGCAGCAGCAGCAGCGCAAGAGCAGTAGTTAAGTAGCGCGGGCAGAAAGTAGCAGAGTGAGACGTCGGTAACGAGACATAGCATACGATAGAGTTAAAGCAGGCAGAAAGAAGCGTAGTAAGGAAGGCTACAAGCAGGGAACGAAGAACAGCAGTGAGACCAAGTGAAGAATTAACAGTCAGATAGCAGGAGACCAATCATTCAGGACGAAGTACTCCTCGGTTGGATTCCACCGCTTCATTGAAATGGTGGCGGGAAGAAGAGCTCCAATCTTTGTAGTTTTCTTTTTCTACACTTGTAAATATCCATTCCAAACTATAGTCTTTCAAGTTCGTGATCGCCCCCCCTTTCGTGATTAGCTTTGAAAAAGAAAATAAATGGAGATCCGATTTTTGGCCATTGTTTGATGAGGCCATGCCACTTTTGCTGATCACGAGTGACGAGCTCATGAAGTAAACATTGGCTAACAACCGGCTGCGACCGTATAAAGTCATGCCAAGCAAAGGGCGCCTCCACGCAAAGACCCCCTTTGACAAAACACCTCTCTCTGCCAAGAGCTGCTTTTTTATTTAGCTAGTGGCTAGTGATCTTTTCCTCGTTTTCATTCTAGCTCTGTGGATCATACGGGCCGAGCGATGGCGAGAAATCTTCGCAGCTTCGCCGCGTTTCTTGCGATTTTCTTGACGTTTTTAATCCACTCGAGCGGTACTGCACTCATTGCTTGAACTGATCATTCCATTCCATCCAATTGAGCTCTCTTCTTATGAAACTCTTTTATCTCTTTGCTTTCGTGCTTGTTTAGATGCTGCTGATCGAGAGTATGACTACTCCAACAACAGCCCGCGCGGGCCGCAGCGATGGGCGAGCCTCCACCGATCGTGGACGCTGTGCAGCTCCGGCTCACTCCAGTCGCCCATCAATCTCACCAAAGAGACGGTCTTGCGCGACAAAACCCTGCACAAGCTCGACTCCAATTACAACTCCACTGCCATCGCTACGGTTCTCGACTGGAAAGAGGACGTGGTCGTAAGTTACACTCCGAGATCTTTGATCTTTGACCTTCTCCTGGCAAATGATATACTTTGTTTTCTTTGTTCCAGCTTAACTTCCCAGACAATGCTGGTGATTTGATGATCAACGCGACCCAGTACAAGCTCGTCCAGATCCGTATCCACTCGCCCAGCGAGCATATGCTGGAAGGAAAAACGTAAGCTTTTCTCTTCGGAAATGAAATTAAATTTTGGTTTTTCTCTTGAAAAGGTTTCCTGCCGAAGTTCATCTCGTTCATAACAGCACTGACGGCTCCAGCCGCATTGCGATCGTGGCATTCTACTTCAAGCTCGGGCGTCCAAACACTTTCATTGGCCAGGTAGGAATATTTCATTCTTTCTTGGATTTCTATTCAAATTATTGACAAAATATTCAAACTGATAATATGGATTTTTATAAGGTGATCGATGCACTCAACTCCACCCAAAACTCGGGCGAGCTCAACCCAACGCTACTCAAGATGGTGGGCAGGCCGTACTACCGCTACTCGGGCTCGCTGACCAGCCCACCCTGTACGGAGGGCGTTGACTGGTACGTGGTCAAGAAGAACCGCCGCATGTCCGTTGACCAGTTCCAGTTCATCCACAGCTATGTCAACGTAAGTCAATCACAGTGAAGTTCTAATCAACCTCACTTTTTTACTCCATAGGGAAGCAACGCAAGGCCCATGCAGCCTGCCAATGGACGAGAAATCGAAGCTTACAAATAGTACGTGAACAAGAATATACCATGTACGGCATAAAGAATATGCCCAGGAATATAAAAGAAGTCTTGCCCTACCGTACAGTGCTTGCGTGTTCCAACGGCCGCGCCTGTTAAAATTTGAAAATCCCGGAGAGGAGAAAGAGATTAGGTCTTTCTTCTCTCCTCTTTCTCCCGATCGATCCATCCACGATGCGACGCCGCCTCCAAATCCACTCGGCCGGCCAGTTGGGCTGAAAGGATGCGCGGCGCGGCGCATCGAGAAGCGAGGTGATTGATCCCTTTCTCCAATTCTTTGTAGCCCCGAAGAACCATACCATCGCGGCCATGGCGAGCTTGAGCGTCTCCGGCCTGGCGCTGCCGCAGTGCGCCTCCATGCTGCGCGAGAAGCAGCGGATGTGCTCCGGGAATTGCAGCACCAGTGGATCCACCAGCGGCAGCGCTAGCGGGAGTGGCGGGTCTTACAGCACTAGATTCGCATTTGGAGGAGGAGGAGGAGGAGCGTCATCGTCGTCAGTAGCGAGGAGAGATTGGAGGCCTGTGCAAACTAGAAGAACAGCCACCACCGTCACCATGACACTGGGAGGAAGCTTTGATACCTTTCGGGACAATGATGGAGCACCGCCCACGCGTTTCCAGCGAAGTGGATACCTCCTCGGCCAGCCCTTGAAGAGCCTGGATCCCGGCTTGCACCTCGGCCCGGAACTTCCACGCCTCCACCAGCGGAAGGGTCCTTCGTTCCTCAAGCCTGGAAGAATCGGAGTTAAGCGAGAGAGCAGCGATCCGGATGGAACTTACGAGACCACCAAGAAGGAGGTGACCAAGGCGGCGAAGCGGCTCAAGGACGACAAAGGTGGCGGCACGGGCAGGATCGCCGTCTACTTCGTCTCCTGGTGGGGGCTCAACATCATCTTCAACGTTTACAACAAGAAGGTGCTCAACGTTTACCCGTTTCCGTGGCTCACCTCCGTCATGGCGCTCTTCGCCGGGACCGTCATCATGCTCGGCTCGTGGATGACGGGATGCATCCAAGCTCCCGACACGGACATGCAGTTCTGGCAGAATCTCTTCCCTGTAAGAACCAAAGAACTCATCAGTCAGTCCACGAACTTGAAGTAACAAAACCAAAGAGAGCGTAGGAACTCACTCACCTTGAAAGCTTTCAGGTGGCAGTGGCGCATTCCATTGGACACGTCGCGGCGACCATCAGCATGGCGAGGAGTGCTGTGGCCTTCACGCAGATCATCAAGAGCGCGGAGCCCGCGTTTAGCGTGGTGCTGTCGCGACTCTTCCTCGGAGAAAGGTATCCTCTTCCCGTCTACTTATCACTCCTGCCAGTCGTTGGAGGTTGCTGCTTGTCCGCCGTCACCGAGCTCAACTTCGACATGATAGGTACTTTCTTCTTCTTCGCTTGCCTCTTTTCTTCGACTTATTGAGCTCCTGTTTGTCACAGGTTTCTTGGGAGCCAACGTCTCCAACGTTGCCTTTGTCTTCCGGAACTTCTTCTCCAAGAGAGGCATGAGCAAGAAGGTCAGCGGCCTCAACTACTACGGCTGCCTGTGCATCATGTCTCTGGCCATCTTGACGCCCTTCGCAATCGCCATAGAAGGCTTTCACAACTGGAACGTTGGCTGGCAAACTGCGTCTCGAGCAATCGGTCCCCCATTCCTCTGGTAACGTTGGTCACTTCCAAACTTGAGACTCTGCCTTCCCCGTCGTTCTTTCTTTCTCACGCCGTCCGTCTGCTAACCAGGTGGGTGATCGCACAGAGCGTCTTCTACCACTTGTACAACCAAGTCTCGTATATGTCGCTGGACCAGATATCTCCGCTGACTTTCAGCATTGGTAACACCATGAAGAGAGTTTCTGTCATTGCGGCGTCCATCTTCATCTTCAAGACTCCGGTGCAGCCTGTGAATCTGATTGGTGCAGCCATTGCGATTTTTGGAACCTTCTTGTACTCACAGGTAGACAAAAGGTTGTTCGCTGTGAACTCCCTCACTGTTCCTTTCTTTTGCAGGCAAACAAGTGAAAATTAGCTTTTGTCAGCCGTGCTACAAGAGAGAATGAGAGAAGATTGAAAGTACCTGTTTTCTGAGACTTCGCAGGGAGAATGCATTGACGCTGATCTGTTTTGTTCGAGACAAACTGTTACTGTTATCGCATTGCAAGTGTTAGCTGTAATTAAAAAATATAGAAAGATCGTCAGTAGCCAGACACGCGTGAATTTCTCACAAGGGAAGCAGCAACACGGGGCAAGGAACGAATTCTGCGAGGAGGTTCCCATCAATGTGCTTGGAATGAATGCATTCCATGCTGAGAACGACCAAGTCCAGCCCCATGTCATCCGCAACTTCTCCTATTACCACTGCTGCTTTCTTGCCTTCTCCAATCTTTTCCAGCATCCCATAGTCTTGGATTCCTCCTACAAAAGAAAAATGTATCACAAGTTTACCAATGAATATCAATCCCAACCTTCTTCCAGGTGCCAGCGAATTGTTTGAAGTCTCTGCTCGTAGTCTTTCTCCTTTTTCTCCTCATCAATCACTGCAGCCAGGCAAATTCATAATGGACGTGATGGACCCAAAAAACGAAGTTACGTACCCACAACTGTGATCTTTGCGCCATACTTCTTCGCTAGAGACGTAGCTGTTGCCGCGGCCTACACTCGCAAGAACAAAAAGAAAAACAAAGAAAGAAACAGCACTCAGAAACAATCGAAGAAAAAAACTGAGTTTTTGCAACCTGACGAGTCGAATCCGACAGATACGGGTTCTTATCGATGATGGGCAGTAGAACATGTTGAAACTCTTTCGCTATTGCTGGAGCTCCGTCTGCATTACAGTGAATCGGCAACTCGAGAGACAAAAAAGAATCCGACTTACCAGTAGCACTACTGCTGCACCGAGCCACCCGAAAGCGTTGGGGACGAATCGAGTAGCATCTAGACCGATTTGCTGGAGCCTGGAACGAAAAGCAAGACAAAGAAGAAGAGGCTGAAAGGCCGATCCGGCTGATGTTGCTCATCATCGTCGCCCAAAACCAAGGAAGAGAAACCAAAACCCACAAAGTCCACTTGGACAGTAGCTAGGGCTTTCCAGACTCTTCCCCTTCCTAAATCCTGCTTCCTGCCTAGCTATGGAAACTAAAACCAGTGTAAACTAAAGTTGAATTTCCCTGTCCCTAAGAGAAGCTTGCTTCCTGTGCTATCCTTCTAACTTCATCTACCTGGGAAATGATCGCATCTGTGCTTTCGATCGGTACCTCTACTGCTAATTGCAAGCTGTGTCTGATGATGCTGCTTGACGTTGTCGTCGTTTTCTTTTTGCTGCTCGGTGTGGTCTTCTTCGCAGACCCTGGCTTTGGTGGCTTGCCTCTCGGCTTCTTTTCTGCGGCTTCTCCCGGGGAGTTGGACTTGCTGTGGCCGTTTCCATTTCCTGCTTCCTGACCACCCGCATCAGTCTCCTGGTGGGAAAAAAGCAAGGCAAACTTTTGAGAAAGAACGAGATCAATTAGACATGGAGGCACCTGTTTCAGAGGTTCCATCTGCAGTCTCCCGCCTGCTGCTGCTGCAATCGCTGCCACTGCCTCCATTTCGTGGGTACCGGCAAAAGGAGCGGCCGACATCGGCTGCGGAGGCGTATGGTCCTTCCAATCCGTGATTGGGAATGCAAAGTCCGGACCAAAGTTGAATCGAACCGTGCAGTTTGGCTCGTTCGGAAGCGTGTACATTGAAGCAGCAGGAAAGTACCGTCCTGCGTAGATATCTTTGTAAGCACAGCCCTGGTACACACCGTTTCTAAAGAACACAATCTCGCCTCCTGAAAACAGAAAGCACCAAGACGTCGTTACAAAAAGGTGAAAAGAAACAAGAGTCGATACAAACCAGGCAAAGGCTTGAGAGGCTCCTCTTTCGTCTCGGCAGTGTAAGGCAAGCCTTTGAAGCTCACAATCTCCGGTGGCTTTGGAGCAAGAGCAGCACCATTCGGCAAGTTGATGTAGAAGCCAATCGTGTCACCTTCAACGTAGGCTTCTCCATAAGGCTCCCTGAGCGCTGCATGGACTTTACTCCCTTCCAGGTCCCGGTAGCCATATCCATGACTGTCGTATCCAACCGGGGCCTGGACATCACCCTTCTGCGTACACCACCCAAGCCGCGTGTGCCCAGTCTTCCCCAAGTGCTCCACAGTGATCTCAAAGTACCAAGCTCCTTCCACAACACCCCGAGTAGCTCGGACCATCCGGTACCCTTTGATACTCCCAGCCGAGAGCTGGTCGGCGCTGAGCTCCACCTTCTCGGCCTTCTGGAACTTGGAGAGCAAAACTGGCAAGTCCGGCCCATCCTCGATCTTGGGAACAACGGGATTGAGGTAGACCGAGTTCTCATTCTCCAGAGCCTTCGCCTGTGTCTTGCTGCCCCCCTTTTTGCTGCTCTTCCTCGTCGTGCTCTTGCTCCAAACATTGGTGTTTCTCTTCTTTGGCTTCTTCGCTGCCGCCGCGGATGCCCCCTCGTCCCCCTGCTTGCGTTTCTGGCTCACCTTTCCCTTCTTCTTGTTGTTGCCTCCCTCAGCAGCTGGAATCTCCATCTCTGGAGTCTCTGGCACTGGAGTCCCGGGGGCGGCCTCCTCCTCCTCCTCCTCATTCCCATCCCCACGATTCACATTCTCGATCGGCACTGCGTCGGTAGCATCCGGAGTGGAATTTGGATCCCTACTCACCCCTTCGTCGTCATCGCCCGCCGCATTCGGGCTGTTGTTGTTGTCATCGTCGTCGTCGCCGAGCCGGAGCGATGGCGTGCGATCCTCGTCCTCCATCTCCTCGTCGCCGCCCTCGCCCTGCTCCGCGAGCTCCTCCTCCATCGTCATCACCTAAAACCCTAAAAATATTTTCACGCGAATATGCCCAACGAATAATCTTACTCCGGGAAAAGGGAAACTCTTGTTCTTCGTGCTCTAGCTCTTGAGCCTCTTGGCGAATCGCGCGATCACTTGGAACTCGTCCAGATGCTGTGACAAGAAGAGATAGAAACGATCGATTAGTGGAGCGCTTTGCTGTGGGGCTTACCTCTTGGGACGCGAAATGTCGGATCACGGCTTCTAGCAGCTGCTCCTTGGAAGAATTGGGGCTAACAGGCTGCAAGAAAATCAGGACGCGAGAAAGAGAAGCGATCGTTCGATGCGTACGAGTTTGAAATGGCGCCGGTACCGCCGCAGCGCCGCCGTCTCCAGCTTGCTCAGATCCACAATCTGATCCAAGAAATATCCATCGATGATTGATCGATCGATCGAAAGAGGGAGAGAAAGAGGAGAAAGAAGATAAAAATCTATCGATCGATCAGAAAACTCTCACCGTTTCTTGCCGAGATCCCGTCGCTGCTGCTGCCGCTCTTGGATCAATGTGAGTGGACGATCGCTTCGCGGAGGAGGATTTCCCGTTCATGGAACTGGCGATGGATCGAAATCTTTCGCTAGGGATATTCGAGCGATGGAAGGAAGAAAGGGGTATATTTTTGGGCTTGGCCTTGTTTGGATTTTAGGGATTGGATTGGGGAAAGGAGGAAGGATGCTGATCGAGGCGGACGTCTACGAGGATTACATCCTTTGCGACAAGCAGCGAGCTCGCAGCGATGGCGGCGATGATGGCCGCGACCGCGGTGATGACGATCGCGCCTCCCAAGAATCATGCGTCGTCGATCCTCCTCCTCCAGTGCCGGCGCCAGTGATTCCCGAGAAGAAGGAGGCGGTGGAAGAAGAATCGCAGAGCGCCGCCAAGATCATCGATTCCTCGGCGGCGCTGCGATGGATGCAAGAGCTCGGCCGCGATTACAAGGCGTATCGGCTCCAGAGCCTGGGATTTCTCGTCCTTAGCACCGTGCTCTTCGCGGCTCTCCTGGCGATCGTCGTGTGGCAGCACAACCAGATCCTCGTCTTGAAAGAGGTAAGTCTCTAGAATTTTTTTCTTTCCTCCATCGATTGATTGATCGATCCGATCGCTTTGTTTTCCAGAGGGTGGAGTATCTCTCCCAGGCGGCGTACATCCAGGAGACCCCCATCACGATCTCCCGCCCGCGCTGCACGACCCTCTTCCCGAGCTCCCTGTGCGAGACCAGCAAGGAGCTGCTAGGGCGCTTGCGATCGCGCTTGATCAACGAGTTTGCCTAGATTCTCTAGAGATTTCCAGCGATTTCTATCCCCCCGATAGAAATCGAGAGAACTTCTTCGTCATTGTCACTCTCACATACATTGTCTAAATTCCATTTTTCTCTTTTCCGCAAGTACTCACTCTTTGATCTGATCGCGCTCGCGCTCCCGCGACAGCATCATCGGCGAATTCCTGTCGGGCTGCCGATTGACGAAGATCAAGTAGCCAGTGACGCCCAGCACGATCGCGGTGAAGATGTAGAGCCCTCGCGTGTTGAGCCGCGTCCTTCGATCCTCCATCGCCTGACCCTAATTCTAGGGTTCGTAAGCAACTAACGGCTGGGATGCAACCCATCCGACGGGCACGATTCAACCACCCAACAATAGATACACCCAACAATATTTCTTTTAATCAGTCAAAAAAACAAAAAAATAGAGAGAAATTTACAACCATCCGACACGAGAGCGCTCGGCCTCGCCAATTCGGACCCTTTTTTGGTTTGGCTGTTTAGCTGTTCTTCGTCTTTGATCCAGAGGAATAAATGCGATGCGTGAGGAGAAATCGGGGAAATCGGGAAGAAAATCGAGAAGGGCAGCCGAGAAATCGATTGATCAGTAGAGAGATTGAGAAGAGGAAGAAGAATCGGGGGAGGAGGACGAACTGGGCGATGAATTGGAGGAGATGGGCGGAGAGGAGGCCGATCGTCGAGTCTGCCTGGTGTTGTAGGAGTAGCAGTGGAGGCATTTGTGAGCAACAATGTGAAATGGTACCTCGGAGGATCCACCGCAATCGTTGCACAGGATCCACACCAGCTTGTTGCGGTAGGCATCGGGCATGGGCGTGGCGGCGATCTCCTGATCCAGCCTCTCCCACGCCGAGCTCATGTCACACACCGACTTGGAGCACACCGGGCACGAGAACTGCGCGTGGAGGGTCATCTCGCGGAGGCACTCGCTGTGGATGGTGTGGCCGCAGCGCAGAACCGTGATGTCGCTGGTGGAATCGAAGAGGTAGTCGAAGCAAACCGGGCAATTGTGGTGCATCGAGTTCTCCACGCACGAATGCCCCTTTTGGAGCGCCACCGCGTAGCAGCAGCCACACTTGTCGCAGTGGAAGAACTTCTCCTGCCCGCCGACGCGGCAGATGCCACACGAATCGCAGTGGAACTGGCCCTTGCTCACGTCGTCGTCGAAGAAGCGGCAGATCGAGCAGTAGTAGTCGCCCATGGAGACGCCGCAGCCGGAGCAGACCTGGTGGACATCCTGCTCCAATCCACACAGCGAGCAGATGACGCGCTCTACCTTGTGCCGGGGGAGGTCGTGGCGCTTGGAGGGATCGGCCTCGTTGGCGTTCATGGCCTCGTTGTGGCAGTGGCGGCAATTGAAGATCCCGTTGCAGCAGGGAGCCCGGATCAAGCAGCGCCGGCGGTAATGCGCACAGCCATACTCCATGACGCCCTCCTTGAGCGCCCGGATCTGCTCTTCCACGCCGCGTGCCAGGGATTCCTGGCTGAAAACCTCCGCCGCCGTCGCGATCTCGATCTGGTGCGACAGCGTCGAATGCAAGCCGGATTCTACCACCGCCACGGACATCTTGGAAATCTTGGCGCTCCTCTCACTGGACTGGATCAAACCCTAGCCCCCATCCGCCATAGCCAACAAGAACAAAACAGCCGGCCACATATATAGGGCAACGGGGATCGAGGGAAACTGTTTTCGTGGCATTCCGATCCGGAATCGTCATCGGATCCGACGGTCAGGATGGCGCCGTTCCTGCGGCGCGGGATTTATGTCCATCGGACGGTTACGGTTTCTGTCCCTTTGTTCGTTGGGCGGTTGAGATTTGTCCTAGGGCAACTTGGCCTGATGATGAGATAGAGTAGGCCATTTTAGATCTCGTCTGATTGGCCGTTACGATCGCCAATCACTCGCCACTTTTTTTTTTTTCCTGCATTTTTACTTTTCTTCGGATTTACGAGCGAAGCAAGAAAGAGTAGTCTTTGCTTGCCCAGTCTCATTCATAAAGAACATTGAAGAGGGAAAGAAAACGCTCAATCGCGATTCCATCCTTTTGGATTAATCTTGGAATCTCTACCTTGGATTGTAAAAGGAATAATTCATGAGGGCCCCGTAACCTTGTACATATTGGGATACCTAGGCCTAGTCTAAGTAAAAATGCGGTGGAGTCCCACCCATCCACGCTCGCTTCCTTATCTCGCAAGGAACGGCGGCGGCGGGTGTGGGACACGCCGCGGCGTTAAATGCCCCACTTTGGCATTTGCCCCCGTCGTGGATCGTGTGATCAGCTCAAAGCTCTGCCCAATCCACGAACTCTCCAAGATTCTATCAAATCGATCCATGGAAGAATAGGGTTTTTAATCTTCTCTAGAGAACATGCTCTACGCAAAGATCAAGCAGTCAGGCGTGTCGGGAATGCCCAGACAAGCGCCAGACAAAAAAGCTAGGGCTTGTCTCCAATCCCCCAGTAGCTAGAATATTCTTGCACTGGAATATCCCCCAGTTACAAGAATATTCTCGTGGTCACTGGACTGAAGCCGCTAACGACAAACGAGACGAAACAAACCTCTCCCAAAACGAAGAAGAAGAAGACGAAGACGAAAAAATCTTCCTTCTCGGCGGCGAGTACCTCTTCTTTTTTTTCTTTTCTTCCTTTTGTCCCGACTCCTTCCTCGAGAACTTCCAAACGAGAAACGCTCCAATTGCTTGGCTTGCTTGCTTTGATTTGCTTCCTTGGCTGGCTTTGCTCCTGTCGATCGATCTAGGTAGCGGCGGCGCCAAGGGTCGGGTTTCCCGGTCTTGGGAGAGCTTTTCCTTTTCTTCTTTTGCTTCGAATCTCTTCACTGTTCCAAAGTCAATCTCTTGTCCCACAAGAAACGCAGCCGTGGTATAGCTAGTGGCGTGGAACACGCCGTTTCTTCAATGACTAGCTAGCTTTGCGTGTATCCTGTGAGAAAGACCCGTCTCTCCACTGCGCTATGCCACCACCAAGTTCCACGAACTCTTCGTCTTCATCTTCTTCTCTTCCTCCTCTCCTTCCCAAATCCAAATCCCAATCCTGTGTGTCTCGTCTATCCATCTATATCTGTTGTTTCTCCGCTGTTTGTTTGTTGTGGTGTAAAGATCCCAATGCTTGTGAAAACTGTGAGAAGACACATCCCACTCCTCGGGGATTCCTTCCAAAATACTCCTGTTTTTTTCCTCCTCCTGCCTTGTTCCCTGTATCTTGCTAAAGAAAAACGGTGCCAGACCAGAGTTTGACCCGTTCGTCCGTCTGGTTCTTCTTTGTCGGCGCCACAACGAACTCCTCCTTGTTTTCTGTCCTTTCTGACTAGTCGTTGCTGTTGCTGCTGCTGTTGCTCGAGTGGCTGTCGTTGGCAGTGTTGCTGGTCGCAGCAGCGGCCGTGGCCGGAAGAGATGGCGGCCTCTTTGTCTGCCTGGTGTTGAAAGAGCCGCAACCGGGGCACTTAAGCGCGAAAATATGAAACGGTACCTCGTCTTTGTGATTGCAATCGTTGCACAGCATCCACACCGTCTTCCCCCTCAGGGCCTCCGGCATGGGAGTGGCAGCAATCTCCTTGTCTAGAGTTTGCCAGTACTCGGACAAATCCAGCACCGACCTGGAGCACATAGGACAAGTGTACCTCGAGTGCAACCGCATCTCATTGAAGCAGTCGGCGTGCATGGTGTGGCCGCACTGGAGCACGGTTATCTGCTTCACGGAGTCGAAGAGGAACTCAAAGCACACCGGGCAGTTGTGGTGCATTGCTCGCTCCACACAGACGTGCTTGCCTTGGAGAGCCACCGAGTAGCAGCAGCCACAACGGTCGCAGTGGAAGAAGTTGTCCGCTCCTCCAACGCGACAAATGCCGCATGAGTCACAGTGGTACTGGTGCTTGTCCGTGTCGTCGTCGAAAAGGTTGCACTTTGAGCAAAAGTAGCTCCCCATGCACACTCCACAGCCTTCGCAAACTTGCTGCACGTCTTGCTCCGTGTCGCACAACAAGCAAATGACCCGCCTTATAGACTCGCGACGGATTTGGTGCCTCTCGCGAGGGTCAGCCTCCTCGCCCTTTGCTTCGTTGTGGCAATGCCGGCAACCAAAAACCTCGTTGCAACACGGAGCTCTGATACGGCACCGCCGCCTGTAGTGCGGACAACCATACTTCCTGCGACCCCTCTCGTTTTGTTCTTCTTCCCTCTCATCTTCTACCTGCTCCCCATCCTCCTGCTGTTCCATCCCCGTTCTAGAAACTAAGGCCTCAGTTCCATTGCTCGTTCCAGATTCCACCGAGCAACTGAGATCCCAGGGGACACGCCTGTCCAGCTCCTCCATTCCACCCGGCGAAGAAGCAGAAAACTTCAGTGTTGGCGACGCAAGTTCCCAGTGCGGCTGAAAAGAAAAGAAGAAACGAATCACTCCCAAGGAAGCAAGAGCGGCAGAACTTGCAAGCACGCAAAAAATCTTACTCAAAGGCTTGCTTGCCTGTCCGTATCCAAGGGCCAGGATTCTTACTCGTAGCGGTCGACCGACACTGCTCTGACACGTCAAAAGATAAAGACGCTACGTTGACAATAGAGAAAACGTGAACGCGCGCTCTCCACCACGGAACAAAGGAATAAGATAGAGAGAGGAAACGTTGTACATTTGAAGGCCATAAAATACAAAGGATGGATGACACGGTTCCAACTCCTGAAAACACACATCCACCGGATAAAAACCATCACGATGCCACCTAACTTAAGCTCTAGCCTTACCTAATTTCCACGAGTCTCAGCCATCATCCTCACCCTCAGAATCTGTAATGTTTCCACCAGTTGATGAAAACGGAGAAAAGAACGATCCTAGAAAAGAAAAACTGTACTCTACCTGAGCGAACATCGTCTCCGATGACTCCAGCCCGTATCTGCTTGACGATCATTCGGTAAATAAGTACCCACCAGTAGATGTGAAGTACAAAAAGACTGATGAGTAAGGTATTCGTTACGTAGTAGTAAATTGGCCCGTAACCTCTATGTAGATGAATGTTGATGGCTTTGATGGACAAGTAGCTGTCGTGGATGACACGGAAACACCAGTGAAAAGCTTGAACAACTAGGAAAGATCAGATACTGCTTACCTTGTCCCCCAAATAACCCAGACTGGGAAGTAAATAAGCCGCAAGAGCACCCACGAAAGAGCAAACAGGCCAAACAGGACATCTGGAACAACACGGACTCCCGCATATTTTGACATCTTGGCCAGCTCCAAGAAAACATCACTCGCATCATGTAGTGCGAGCACGACGCATCCTATCCGAGCAAATCTGCTTGCACCAAAATAAAGCACCACGAACTTGACAGGCTCCACGAGAATATTAAAAGAACCAACCTGGTCCAATACGAAAACGAAATCAAGCCAAAGGTTGCAACATGGTGGGTCATGCTCACTCCGAAATCCTTTCTTCGCGTTTCCCAAAAGATAAGAGCAAATATGCTGTAGGCATAGAATCCCGCCGCAAAAGCATACAGGAGCTTGAGCTTCACCCTGGAAAAAAAGAAACAAAAATGAAGATCAGTACGAGAAACACTGTTCCAACTAGAAACTAGTTAAAGATCAAAGAACAAAACTCTAGAACTTGTTCCAGAAAAATCAAAGAACTCGAAAAACTTGGAAGGAAAAGAAAACCTCTTACTTGATGGTTTGATTCGGCCACGTTTGATCCCCGGGTCCGACCCAAATGCTGTAGCTATCGGTCAGCCAAGTCTCGTTATAAGTCACATATAGCGCAAAGATCTCCGCGGTGGTGTAATAAACGCATTTCCAGCCCGACTCTTTGAATTTAGTCTGTGTCTTCCTCAGCGCGTCCCTATCAGCGTCGCTCAGCTTCCTCAACTTGGACTCGTGCGTGCCAAACACCGATTTCCTGCTCAATTTCTACGCGAGCGAGCTCAAATCTGCCAGAAATTCACATTGCCGCTTACCTCGAGCACGAATCGATCCAAGAAGAAGCGGCAAACCGGGAATCCTATCGCGAATATCGGCGCCAGCGTCACAAGATCCCAAAAGGAGGGATCGATCTCCCTGTTGAGCTGCCGGGCGAGCTCCATCGCCGCGATTCTCTGGGAGAGAAAGATTAGGGCGGCACAACGGTGTCAAAATATTTCTTTTATCGCGAGTCCGTTAGAATCTTAAAGGCAGGATCGTACAGCGTGCATACATTTTCGGTACACTCGTACGGCCGCGCCTTATATGACACAAAAAAGCTCGTTCGTGTAGTTCTTCCTTCTTCGCGTTTTCTTACTTCCATTTCTCTCGGAGCTCCTTTCTTTGCGACAGCACCATGCTCACGGCGATGGCCACCACCAGAACCACGATCGTGATGAGCAGCAAAGCGTAGCTAAAGTCCTCGGTGAGCGAGTCGTAAGTTCGCGATGGCGCTGTTCTCGTGAAGAACAAATCGATCCCGTAGGCGAATACCAAGCACGTCGATTCTAGCCGAGCAGGGACGCTGATGATCCCCCGGAGTTCCTCCACTCGAGCCGCGTGTGTGAGATACGACTGCCAAGAACACGGCATTTAGAACAGTCCCGAAAAGCAAACGACGCAAACCTGTGGAAAAAGTGGGAGACCCTCGGAGAGAGGAATCACACCTTCCTCCCTTTCCATGGGAGTCGGATCCGCGGACCTGCGTGGATCCAAAAACCGCTTGTCCAGAGCGATTACCTGCGGGAAAACGATCTAAAGTTCGTCCAAACTCCATCAAAGTTGCTCGCTCACCTGGTTTCCTATAGTACCAACGAGTATTTGCTTTCCCGTGATGCCTCTTGCAGTGAACGTAACACTCATTGTCCTGACTGTGGACGGGAAAAAGTAGCTCTGTCCCTTAACTTCCAAGTTGCGTGGTGAGAACGACGAAAACGGGACGCTGGCGTTGTAGCGTCCCAGCATTAATTGAAGCACATCTTTCCCGTCCTGCGTGCGAAAAGAAAGTCAAGAAAAAACTCTCCTTTCAAGCTCAACTTACCGCGGATTTGTCATAAACTTCCAACACAGACATCTCGTGACGGTGGTTGCGCACATTGAAGTAGCAATAGACAACCCAGTTCTCGCTGAAAACCTGTTGAGAAATCCATCAGCTCTTGGAAGAAAAGAGGAAGGTGATTCTTTCTTTACCACGTGAACGGGACCCTGTGCGTGTGCATGCGAGACACGATGGAGAATTTGGCCAGTGACACTGTCAATAAGGTACGCAACTAGCCACGTCTCTTCCGGGTTGGCGGCGCCAACTCTAGAATCTTGAGGTGTCACTGTTGCAACGAAAACCATGTTTTTGTTGAGATATTTGTACCATACGTCACGATTGCCCAGAACTTTAGCTTGCGTGTGCACCATCTGTGACGAGAAAATCAGAACCATACCAAGAAAAGAAGATCAAGACCCGAAAGTTACCTCATCTGCTCTTCTCGTTGTGATTGCCGCAATAGTTTCCGAGTCCTTCGGAAACAGTACAGACCATATCTTTTGCGACTGGAAAACCAGTCCGCCTTCTTCTCCAGCGTCGACCTGCGACTTGATGTTGTATCCTTCTATTTGCCCGGCTTCTTTATCAGCTATGTAGAAGTAGACGTTCTGCATGTACTTCTCAAAGAGGCTCAAGCTCTCGTCGCTCGTAGGATAAAGATGAGCCTTGTTCTGGTCGTCAATAAGTAAGTGGAGCCTTCGTTCCGATGAATCTACGACTGGCAGAGCGAGAGCAACCTTGACCGAGTAAGGAAGTGCCAAAGTTTCCTGCACACTGCCTGTGAGCATGTCTACCCAGGCCGCAAACCCAGTTCCATCGTGGGACGATCCCAATACAAGAGCAACCGCATTCTCGTCGACGTGCTTGTGAGGAATTCTCCACGGATACAGCTTCAAGGAACCTTTCGTCGACAATTCAGGAATGAAGCGCGACCACACTATGCCACCATTTCCAGTATGAAGAGCGAAAAGCTTTCCGGAACTTGTGAGGACGACTATGAGCTTCCTAAAACCGTTGTGATCACGCGTCATTTTCGTCTTGTCTGCGTTATTCAGGCGCAAGGCTTGTAAAGCCGTCTGCTCCTCGGCTGTTGCAAGCATAAGCGTGGATTTCAAGCGCAAAACATGCCCCTGCATAAACAGCCAGTTGACGTCTCAACGATGCAAACATATTTCGTTACCTTGAGCCACTCGTAGAGATCGTGCTCGACTTCTGCAACAGAAACACCAGCTTTTTCCAACGGAAGCTCAGCAGTCAAAGTATCCACGACGGAAGCAAGTGCTTCCTCTCTGCTCCACACCACCTTTCCCTGCTGCAGCAAAGCCAAGGAGTGATCCTGTCCGACTATAAGGACCCGGAATCCACGGCTTCTATCTGTTTTGATGTAAGCGTTCATGAACACTTTCTGTACCCCTCCCTTGTTTGGATCTACCTCCACTGTCTCCTCAGCAGTCTCAATCCATTCCTTGCCACTAAGCACACGGACGCGAATTTCTTTGGAGTTGATATGCTGAAGAAACGACTGCGCAAAAGTACCGTCGAGAACGATGCTGTTACTGACAACCGGTGGCCCCTGGATCTGTTGAAGCACTTCCACACCTTTCTTGTCCAATCCCAGAACAAAAATGGAGCCGCCGTCTGTAGAAAGGACGCAACCTCCAGGGATCTTGTCTGGTAAAAGCTGCGCGCTTGAAACTGGCGAATCGAGAAGTGTAGCAAGACTTGTCTTTTGCAGCTCTACCACTTCGGCTTCCATAAGACCAGTAACAATGTTTCCCTGAGTATCCAGAGCCGCGAAAACTCCAGAGCTCAAAACGAAGCTAGAAGGATTCAACGGTTCGGTTGTCTTTAGAGTTGTGAAAGCGCCAGTGCTCGCATCGATGCGGAAAAGTGCGAGGGATGATCCAGAAAACCCAGCGACGTATATATTCTTGCCTTCAAAGCTCAAGGAGGTCTGAGCCAGCCTGCTACCATCCAAAAACAAAATCAAACTTTCACCTCGAACATTAGTGGCACATACCTTTCATCCAGCAAATCAGAAGTCCAAAGAAGCCGGCCGTCGGCACTTGACACGACATAAACTATCCCTTGTTTCAGAACAAGTAGATCATCAGACTGCCACACAAGAAACAGTAAATCGTCAGGAGAAATGCAAAAACGAACTCCATACCGGCAGGAGAAAAAGCTGAGCAGGAGATGGCGAAGTGTATAACGAAGTTTCCCAGATAAGTGAACCGTCAGGAAGATGGAATGATCTCAAGGAGCCTCCTCGAGACAATGAGACCGCATCTAGATCATCCGAGAAAGCATTTTCAAACACAGGAAGAAGAACAAAAAGAAACAAAAAGCTTACATTTGCCAAGAGCTACTTGGAGTCCATCAATCGGCTCCGACTCCTCTAGAACTTGCCTCCAAACTGGAATCCATCTCGTAAACTCTTTCAAGCCCATAAGAGAACTTACAAATCTCTCCAGAGCGAAGATTGAGTGATGCGACCACGCTCTTCTCTGTAGCTACAATAACGCGCTTCTTGCCGCTAGCAGTCTGGAACACTGCGTGAGTTACTTTTCCAATGTATTCCTGGTGCCTGCAATGGAGAAAACTCGTTTCTAAGCATGGATCCCATCCTTTTGAGCTCAGCATTCTCACTCACCAGTCCCATAGCCCAACCTGATCCTCGTAAATCGCATCACAAGCTGCGAGCACCACGAGCAGCAGCGCCGGCGCAAGGATCCAGCGCCTCCAGCTCCCCATTATCCAAGAACCCTAATTAAAACTCCAAGGGGGAAATAGTTTTAGGGCTCATCAGCTATGGAGTCCCTTCTCGCGTGCTACGCATCCGACGAGGAAGGAGAGGAGGAATTTCGCGCGCCAGTGACAAGTAAGTCCTCGATTCCTCCATTTCCAGAGCCGCGGATCAGCAATGGCGACCAAGGGAGAGGCGGCAAGAGCATGTTTAGCTTCCTTCCGGCGCCGAAGAGGAACAAGGGGCTGGATTATCGCCCGCCGATCGACACCTCGGCCCTGGAAGAGGAAGAAGATGCCGGCAATGCGAAGAAGAAGCCGCGATTGGACGAGAAGGAGATGACCGTGGTGGGGGGATTGGTATTGCCGGCTCCCAAGAACAGTTTGGGGATTGGGGGCGCTTTGGGTGGAGGCCGTGGCCAAGCTCTGGATTTTTCTAGCCACGGTTCTTCGTCACTGCCAGAGAGGAATCTAGATCAGGAAGAGATGGTTCCTTCTAGCAGCGAGAATGTGGAGGAGTCGGGATCTCAAGATGGTCTTTACTACGAAGATCCTTTTCCAGGATATCAGACACAGGGATACGATGGTCTTTCACAGGAAGAAAGCTATCAAGGCCAGGAGAATGGCTATGAGGGCCTGGAAAGTGGTGCTTTCTACGAGGATCAAGGACAGAATCATCCATACCAATACTACGAGGGAGATGCTGTCTATGATCAAGCTCAAGCCCAAGCTCCTGTGGAGGAGGATCCGGTTGCGAAGGCTATGAGGCAGGAGAATCGGAAAGGAAGAGTGGAGCCGGTTAAGTTCGTCGAGATCAAGCAGGACGATCTCACCGCCAACAGGCCGCGAGAGGATCAGCTCCGGATGACTGGCATCGCGTTTGGCTCGACGTTTAGCTCCGTGCTTGACGTAAGTTTTTGCGATCTTCTTCTTTGTTCTTCCTTGGTTCTGACCGGTGGTGTTTTGATTTCCAGAAGAAGGATGACGAGGAGAACAAGCCTTCCAAGCTCCACAAGAAGAAGCACCAGATCGGATCGCTGTACTACGACATGAAGCAAAAGGAGTTTGAGCTCATGGAACGCCGCGCCAGAGGGTTCTTGAGCAAGGCTCAAACTCACGCAAAGTATGGCTGGTAAGAAAACGAGGAAAACAAAACTGGGAAGAAAAAAAGAAGAAAAGACGGAAGAAACGATGTTTAAAAGGCTTTTAAAGACGAAAGGTTTTTAGGGTTCCTGCAATGTCAGTGCTTGACGCGTATAGCTTCCGCGAGGAGAGAGTGCCAAGGTATGGCTATGGCGGCATCGATCGCGGCATACCAAGGGTGGGCTACAATGGTAGCAACGAGAAGGTGGTCATCAAATCGATGAACCAAGATCCCAGGGTCTTCGACATGGATCGCATCGAGGAAGAGTTTGATCTCATGATAGAGTGCGAGCACAAGAACGTCCTCAAGGCTCTCGACGTGGGCACCGACGAGCACTACTACACTTACATGGTTTTGGAGTATATCGACTGTGATCTCATGGACTTCTTCGGCCAGGACAAGGTATACTACAGCATCTCCAAGGCGGACAAGATCCGGGAGATCCTGCGCCAGATTCTTTTAGGGCTTGCATGCATGCACGGACGTGGGGTGGCGCACCAGAACGTCGGCTACTACAGCCTGCTGGTCAAGCGCAATTACGACGAGTTTGTGGTCAAACTGACGGATTTCAGCTGTGCGAGGAGGATTACGACGCCGGCGAACCCGGAGATTGCGGGATCACCGGAATACAATGCTCCGGAAGTTCTTCGCATGGAAGCCGAGAGGATGGGAACTACGGCTGATATTTGGAGTGCCGGTGTTGTTTTTTTGCAGATGCTAATGGGATACAACCCTTTTTACCCTGGGATTAGTCATCAGAAAGAGAGAGAAAAGGTGGTGGACGAGATTCATAGATTTCTTGACGAAGATATGTTTAAGTTGATTGAGGACAAGGCTGCAGTGGAATTGTTGAAAGGTATGCTAGCTTGGGATCCAGAGAAGAGATTTACTGCCGAAGAAGCGTTGGATTCACCATACTTAGCGGTACAAACACCACCGGTTATTAGAGAAAACAAGGTCGTGGTGAAAGTAGAAGATCGCCCCTCTACAGGTTTTTGGACAGAGGTTGCCAAGATCTTCTCGCTGGCTTGATATTGAATTAAATTTCCAGCTTACAAGGTTTTTAGTAGGCGGAGTTACTGAGAAAACTTACAATGCACCTGTTTTTCTGGAGGAGCTCGTCTAGTCTCTTCCATGTCGAGCTTTGCACTTCACGCAGCGTCTCTGCTTTGTCTCGCAGCTGCGAGTAAGTGAGAATGCTCTCGCCGTGGATCTGCGGTGAATCGAAAGCGTTAATCGCTTCCAAAAGTGATAGAGAAAAACTTACTCGAAGCACGAGTAGCATTACTGCCTGGACAAAGTCGAAATCTCTGTTTAGAGACGTAGCTTTGATGAGAAAGTCGATGAGCGAACCGATATCCCGGATCTGTTCCTCGGGAGCATCCTCGTCTACTATTTGCAAGAAGCGAATTTCGGCGTCGAGAGATGACGATGTCAAGTTTTTCATGTGCTCCAAAAGCTCCAGACCTTGAGAAAAACAAAAGTTAGCTGCTTCTAAAGAACCAAAAGAGCTTACATTCTCCGCTTCTGGCAAAGTCGTGAACGAGCTGGATAAACTGCGATGGCGTGTCCGCTCCAGTAGATAAAGACTGCAAACGGACCGACTTGGTTTTCTGCGAGTCTTGGTCTGGAGAAGCGAACGCAGGGACACCAGAGAGAGAAGGAAGCGTTGGCAAGAAAAACGGAGCTCTCTCCGGTTTTTTAGGCGCTGCTATCGGTTTGTTGCGAGCCTGGAATTCATCATAGACATTAGAAGTCTTCCTAAAAGAACTTTGCGTACCTTGACTGTATCAAGATGCACAAGACCTTGCCACTGGTTTTTCGGAAGTAGCGATAAGGTTACCAGCTCTGGAGTGATTTGAGCAGTGCTGGGGAGCTCGGACTTCTCTTCTAGGCCAGGCAACTCAATATTATCCCGAGAAACTTTTTCTGGATTACTGTCCCCGCCTTCTTCTGGCCGAGATCCGGTCGACGATGGGAGCGCGACATCTTTTACGGCATTTCCGCTTCCAAGTTCAATATCTCCAGCAGAGTACATGTAGCGATTACCCCTGCAAATTTTCAGAATTAAAAAACTAAGAATAAAGAAAAAAACTAAAAGAGCTCACCAAAGATATATGCCTTTGTGATTTACGTGACATGTAGCCAACATGTCCATGCCTGGTGATAGAGAGAGGGCCGTGATTGCAGCATTTACACGCATTGCGTCCAGTTGCTTTGCTGCAACCACATCCCATACTCTTACAGTTGCATCCATAGCCGAGGACAAGAGCCATTTCCCATCCTCACTGAAAGTGAAATCGGTGATCCGGTCTGTGTGGCCCGAGAAAACTCGAACCAGCCGCACTGCAACCATGTCGTACAATCTTATAACGTGGTCGTCTGACGATACCGCAGCGAGGCCTGATAAAAGAAAGGTTTCTCAGCAGAGGGTTACACAAGTTCTTGAAGATGACGTACCGTTCCCACGGTGGTAAGTCATTTTTATTATCGGAGAGCCGGGACTAATAGAGGCTTTTAGCTGCAAGGACTTGAAGTTCCACACCTGAAATCGCAAGGTCTGGCAGTGATAACACAGTGTCCTCAGCCATACCTTGATTAACTTATCGTAGCCAGCGCTGAAAAGGCACGCGTTCGTCGCATCTGAAGCGAGACCATGCACTGCTCCTGTATGTGCGCTTTGATCAGCCAACGTGCCATCGCGGTATGAACCACGGTGAAGTCCCGACTGCAAGTTAAACCGCTCAATGTGTCCTGACGCAGTACCAAGCGTCACAAAATTTCCGCAAGCACTGATACTGCAAACCTGTCAAAGGATAACATTTGATCATGACAAAACATGCTAGAGTTCTCACCAACCTTCACAGGGCTAGGCTTCTCAGGGCAAGGCTTGAGGACATGCTCGCCAATAACAAAGTTCTGTAAACGCCAGGTATATGCAGAGCAATCGTCCAGATGACATGTGACGACATTGCACCAGTCACGCTCTCGGATTTCGGCTGCAACGCAATGACGTTGTGATTAGTTTTGTTTTCCACTTCACAAAAATTTACCTGCGTCAAAGGCGACGATAGGTGCGAGCTTTATTTCTTCTTCCTGAGAAGCTGAACAGCAACGAAGTTAGTACAAGCATGAAATCAACAAACACCGACCTTTAGCTTTAGCCTTTTAGCGCGCTTGGTTACATTCCCTTGAGAAAGCTCTCTGCTCTGTTGATCCTGATATATATATGCAAACATGTGCTAAGATAAGATCCAAATTTATAACTCAAGAACTCACTTGAATGGTCGAAAATAAGCGGAAAGCTCGGTCTTGGCCACCGGACAAGATGCATCGCCCTTCACCGTAGTACCTGCAAAAACTCAAGATAAGCATAGGACCCTAAAAACTCTCGAAGACCTTATGCACGTAGGTGGAGCGCTGTGACCACTCCTGTACCGCAGAAGCCTTGCATCACCATCTAATGAATCAAATATCCACATCTGCGAGAATTGACGCTAAAGTAAGTTGCCGAGGAAAATAGCAGAAAGAGACAGAGGGAAACCAAACCTTCAAAGAATTGTCCTTTGAGTTGCTCATTAATACAGGTTCGTTAGCTAGAAAATGCAAAGACGCTACTTCTGAGTCGTGAGCGTCGTTGATAACAGTCTGCAGTTTCTTCTTTTCCAAGTCCCAAATACTTATGGCACCGGATGATCCTCCGGCAGCCAAGAACGCGTGACCATCTGTAGGATACAGTTCATATACAAGATAAACAAAGATATCTAGCATGCATACCTGTCCTGAACGAAAGTGCCGTCACACCCCCTCTGGTAGTATGTGTGAAAGTGGCAATAGTTTCATCGTATCGGATATTGTGCACATGGATTTTCCCATCTCCACACCCGATTCCAACGACGTCCAGCGCTGGAGACGATACGCAAGTAAGAACGGGAGAGTTCCATCCTTTGAACTCATGGACCATCTTTCTGGATTTAATATTCCAAAGCTGTAATCGGCCATCCTCGAAACCAAAAAGGACCTGTCAAATAAGAGAAACGACAATGGGGACGCACATAAGTTGGCAATGAGCAGTTCGCAATGAGATTACTGACCTTGTCAAGGTATGTTTGTGGATGCATCAAGCATGTCACGCCACGACCAAGATGGAGTTCTGCAATCGGCTTACCGTCTTCCTTCGTAGAAAGAATACCCGTGTCCCACACACAAACGTGTCCTTCAGTGTCGGAACTCAAGATGAAGTGGCCGAATTCCAGTAGATATTTAATTTTGCTCGAGTGAGCTTTCCACACAGCGATCTGAATCAATCAAGTTTCAATCTTAGCAGAAACTTGCAAGAGCAACCAAACAAAAAAAAAACAGAAAAGGAAAAAAAAAAATCGCACCTGGTGTGCTCGATCGAAAACCACTACATTATTTCCACTGGCTGCAAACGTAAAGCCTTCATAGCAAGCCAACGCTCTGATGGATTTTTCCAGCTGAGGACCTGCTTAAAAACAATGAAGTTACTCACCTCTGCTTGCAAAAGAAAACAAAAACCGACCTACAAAAACCAGCAGTAGCTTCGAGCACTGCAACACACAATCCCGTCAAGAAAGGAAATTCGCGCAAAGAATCTGGCAACACTCACATTGAATCGCTGCCACGCCTTGCCGACGCTCACCGTGACGAGCGTCTCAACGCCGCTCCGCTGCACTGCGAATGGGACGCCATCGCTGATGTAGCCGATCGCCCGGAAGGCTTCGAAAATGCCCATGCCGCCCTAAAACCCTAAACCCAAATTTTCGACACTCCCGGGATTCGAACCCCAATCGGTCACCCTTTTCCGATTCGCCTTTACTGCGACTCCATCTTTTTCTTGAAGCTGGGTACCTTTTTCTGCAAAACAAATCCTTTAGGTTTTCCTAACCATTCATTTTCTCGAGCGATGGCAGACTATGTGTGGGCGAGTGGCGCGAGGTTGCTAGGCGCTGGAGCGGATGGAGAGGTGAGGGTTGGGTTCCACCGAAAGACTGGAGACAAAGTAGCCATGAAGAAGATGTACGAGCACGAGTACCTTTACGATGCCATCATCAACGAGTCGGAGATCCTGGAAGAGGTAGCGCACGACAACGTTGTCAATCTCCTTGGGTTGACCTGCAACAACCAGGGTACGTTCATGGCGATGGAGCTCATGGACGGGAGTTTGAGCGATGTGATCTCGTCACGCAAGCTTGGGGAGCACGACATCAGGGCCGTGATGCGCCAGATCCTCGAGGGCCTGGCGTGGATTCACGCGCACAGAATCGTTCACCAAGACGTCAAGACGAGCAACGTTCTCGTCAAAAGGGATGGAGAGAAGAATAAGTTTGTTGTGAAGCTGGCGGACTTCGCTACTGCGAGGAGGCTGCGGACACGCCCCTGGTCGAACAAGGTCGGGACCTTAACGTTCAATGCTCCGGAGCTTCTCAAGGGTGCCACCAGCTTTGGCACCGCAATCGACGTGTGGGGCGCCGGGTGTATATTCGCGGAGATGCTCCTGGGTAGCAATCCCTTTGACGTGCCCGACGAGGAGGATGGGGACTCGCTCGACTATTTTGTGGCTGATTTCGCCAAGAAGCTGGACATCGATGGCTGTGGCATGGGCTATCAAGACAGGCGACGAGAGCGAGCACGCGAGAGGATCTTGGAGAAGATGGCATGGTGGAAAGCCGAGGACGTGAGAAGTGGAATTAAAGACCCCGATGCGGTGGAGCTGCTCAAGAGGATGCTGGCAATTGATCCGGCGAGGAGGATCTCGGCGCAAAACGCCTTGAAGATGCCATATTTCCAAGAGAAGGCCGACGACACAGCCAGGCCAGTGCTCCTGACAATCACGACTGCGAGTGGAAATTTTAGACCAGCTTGGGTTAAAATCAACAATGCAGCCCCATCAATAGCTACAATGTAAACAATGCTTGTGAAGACTGTGAATGTATACATTCAAAGTTTTGCAAAACATTTTATCTTTTTCTCTAAGTACATCATGTAAAGAAAAAAATTAAAAAAGAATT